GATAGATAGATAGATAGATAGATAGATAGATAGATAGATAGATAGATAGATAGATAGATAGATAGATAGATAGATAGATAGATAGATAGATAGATGGATGGACGGATTTATAGATAGATAGATGGATAGATAGATAGATAGATAGATGGATGGATGGATGGATGGATGGATGGATGGAAAAGTATGAATACAAACTTTCTATTCCTTTGAGTGAATTGAGTGTTGATTCTTCAGTAACCTCCCAGCACTTCTCTGATGCAGATCCAGGTCAGCTGTGCAGTGACCCGCTGCTTCCCCACCATGGGTCAGGATTAACCCTCTATAAGGCCGGGATGTCAGGACACTATTGACCTGTTGACCCTCCAGTCCCCAAGAAACCAAGCAGTGCATTACGGAAACAATCAATCGATCGACAAGTTAATTAAGGCAACAATTTAAGCTAGATTAGAATATTCAATTGAAAATAGTTTTTGGTTGCACTTCTCCTATGATGGAAAAAATCTACCTTGACCAATTGTCTAATTATTGCCTATTTCAATTAGGTGATATCTTCTTCTTTTGCTTGTAGTATTTTAAAGTTTAATCCACCTTCTGAAAATACACACAAGAGACCAAATCTGTAATGTTTGAGCTCGAACAAAAATATCTTCAATAAGATAATTTATGTGTGCCCAGTGGCAGTCTTAGAGGGAAGACGTGTTTTCCATAGTTCTCCTTCATGAATACTAATGCTACATTTTGGCTCTTTGTTTGTATAGAAATTATCTCAGGACGGGATCCCCACAGTCTCCAGGGTAACGGGTCTCCGGCTCAGGCATCCAGTGTGTTAACCTCCTGGTCTGGTTGTGCTCAATCACACGGTGGAAGAACCAGCAGCCGTCTGCAGTGGATTGTGCGTAATATAATAAGGAATGCAGCCTATGTTGAAATTACGCACGGATATGAAGCCATACGCGTTTTTGGAGCCAATTTCCATTTCAGACTTCTGTTTTTATTCGAGGACAATTAAATTCCAATTAAATTAGTCATAGAGTTAAAAGTCTGCTGGCACTGAAGTGTCTGCTGTTCCTGGCGAAACCAAATAGCTGATGCTTGAACACACAGACAACTCCAGCGACGTCACGCAGTTTGGAGAGGGGGCGTCAATGTCAGTGCGCCTGCACGAGCACATATACTCTGTGCCATGTTTACCGGGAGCACTGAGTTTGAGATCGGACTTGCAGAGCGCACGAGGAGCGCATGAGGACTCGTCTGTGGAGCAGGAGAGACAACAATGACGAGGAGCTGCGGAGCTGTGGGCTCCGGCCCTGCTTTCTGATGTAGTTAAGTTTTTTTTAAAGAAGATGAGAGCCTTTGTGTTGAGGCTGATGAGCTCAGGAGGATTTCTAAAGGGATCAATCACAGGTTTCACAGAAGAAATGTCCACAACTGCAAGTCCAACCATCCCCTCCTCACAGCTGACATCAGATCAACTCACTGTCGTCGCTGCGTCCTGTAAGTAAACTCAATAAAGTGTCTCACTCATTAAAGGGAAATGTGTAAATCATTTAAAACTATGTGGGAGAGAACTCGACCTAATTGCTTGTTGGGTGGCTCAGTATCTGAATAACCATGTTGCAGCAGTGTGATAAAAAGTTGCAGCTTGATGGATGATTTTCATTCTCCAAACGGTGACAGAAGGATTTGATTGCCACATGGCACTCAAACCTCTAAACCACAGTTAATGACAGAATTATCTTTGTCTTTTGCTTCCATGTTGTAATTGTTCTTGACAGAAAAGTAGAGCACAGGAGAGAAATAACACCAGTAAGTTTTCAATTTGTAGAGACAGACAGTCCATTCAGAAACTGGACTGAAGATTTCAATTGTCAAAAGCTTTTCTGATCTTGAACCACAGGTTGTGGGTGTAGAGAGGAACTGCTGCCTGACTAAACTGTGACTAACATTTCCTTCTCTCCTGCTCTCAAACAGTTTCTTCTCTGGTGTTCTTTGTGATTATTGCGGTGCTGCTGTCCATTATTTATCGCAAGGATCCACAGTGCTGCAAACTCCGCTCCTATCAGCGGCCTCATGCAGATATGGTGAGAGGAAAACACAAGTGCCTTTTGTGCTGAGTTTTCTTTTTTTCTTTTCAGTGACCTACATGTTCAGTTTTGATTCTGATCCAGTTTATTTGTTTGGAACACACTGACAGAGAAGGGACCCGGCCATGTGCACCCTGTGCAGGGGCCATTAAGATGTGTCAGATTCAATTTGCACGGCTGTGGGAAAGGGACTAAAATAAACGTGATATGACCATTGAATTTGCCCGCTCTCCAGAAATATCTCCGAATACCTCAGTGGCTCTAATGGAATTGGACAGAATTAGCACTTGTACCATGCATATTGATGTTGTAGTTCAACAACAGTGAAATTAAATTACTGCAGATCAAATCCTAACATTGGCATGTAGCAGGTGAAGCAACACAACCTGATCGTTGATGTTTTGTGTGACATTTTTAATCATTGCCTATCTAATTTTTAAAGATGGCACATCTCCAACAATGTGTCTACCTGCCAAAGATAACTTGTCGTACATTTGCGAAGCTGTAAAGATGCAGGATGAGGTGAAGAGGAAACACTCCACAGATGTAACTCCTCCTCACTGGTCGTCCATTCTCTCTGCTTCCTCTTCCTCTTGTATTCCATGAACGCAAGTCCCACGGGTGAAGTTTCAGTGTTATCTTCGAGCTGCAGAGACACAACCCCCCCACACAAACACACACATAGACACACACGCACACACACACGCACACACACACACACACACACNACACACACACACACACACACACACACACAGACAGGAAGCTCTGCTCGCCTGTGGTTTTTAACGGAGAATCTCTGTCATCCCATTTAAGGAACTAACAGAGTGTGTCACTGGTACAGACTGGCCCTGCTGACCTCCAGTTACAGCTGTATTCATGCTGTCGCTGATAAGAAAGCACTGCTGCCTTAACTTACTGTCAGGTCAGCACATTAAACTACACGTGACAGATTGTGAACAGAGTCTGCACCCATGTTGTTTCAGAGTTTATTTTCTTTTGTTATGGGATATTTAACTCACTCACAGTATCCTATAGAGTGTTTTTGTCTTGACTGTAAGAAGAGAGAAGTGAAGGGTAGTTCTTCCATGAGGGAAACACACACAAACACTTTCATTGTGCTCTTGTGGGACGTTTTCATGTCCTCGACTTCATAGTCACATACCTTTCCCTGCTTCAGTTTGCACCATGAATAGTGGACAGACCCCACTGTGGGTGTTGGGGGACGCAAAGGGGACAATGGATCTCCTTTAAGTTGCGGTGTTGAAAAAGGCACGCTGCCACTGGGGTCCTCCCCCGACTTCAACACTGATTTTACACGGTTGTGCTTTTTCACACTGGCTGAATCAATGACAGGAGACAAAAGGACAACTCTTCTTTTTTTTTTTTCTCCCCCTCTCTTTTTTTGGGCTTCTTAAAAGTACAAACCACTGAGGGAAAGTGACCTTTGACATCAGCTTTTTAGTGTCGTCTCTTATTCTGAAATGATTTGGGGGTTATGGCAAAGGTCGTTAGAGTGCGTCACTCTACAAGTGAGTGATGTCATTGTTGCAACTGGCCTGGGAAAATGATAAATCTAATATTGGAACGGTCCCTATGTGTATTTGCTTAACTCCCGTTTTGCTGCCTCCAAATCAGAAATAAATCTCTGTTGTATGAGTAACAACCGATGTCCTAACGCCTCTTATCCTCACAACGGATTTAAATCTCAGTCAGGCAACAAATTGACTTTGTTGTAATGCCGGCCCCTAATGACAAACAAGGCCATAATGTGTATTGGAGTGTGCTCGTTAAGAGGTACCTGCCGCAGTTACAAGGGAATAGAGAAACGCTGAAAAGACCACACGGTGTGGTTTGTTGCCTAGGGACACTGATGACACAGTGGGACATTGCATTGTTCTCCACACAAAGAAGACTCATTCAGACCCAAGGCAATTACCTAGTTTTCCTGGCAGGCTTTTTTTAGGATTCCTGCACCTCATACAGTGAGACACTGACAGGTCTTGTTTCAGAGGGGGTGGAACTGGGAGGAGGCACGTTAATCGGAGGGTGGTGGTCTTATTGATTAGATAATTTATGGTATGGCTAAAACAGCCAGCGTCTACAGTGACTAAACAAGGCATGAAAATTGGTCAATTGGGCCCAAATTAGTGGATTTCTGACGAATTGCAGAATGAGCAGCAGGGTCACACGCTGGCATATCACTTAGTTAGATTGTAAATGGATGAATGTTGTTTTTATCTTGAACAAGTTAATTTATAATCAGGGTCCTGAGACACACATGTGACTGTCATTACTGCTGGTGTTACAGGACGCTCCCCCTCAGTACTACAGCAGCAGACAGACTCTGGTGGGATCTTCTTGTCTGGAGCAGGAGATCATGGATGACGACAACACTCAGGTGAGAGAGCCCAGAAGTGAAATGGCATCAACTGTTAAAGCTACATCTTTCAATCTGTATTGCAATACAAATATCAACTGTCACTCCTTAATTACAATACCATTTTTTCCCTCCTGACTGTTATGAAGTGAAGATTGCTGTAATTGTTGTATGGCCTGGCGGGTAAACCCTCTGAAACTAATTAATGCCATAGAACTTCTTTTAATATCTAGTTTGACAGTCATAACTGAAGAAGAACACAATTAAATAAATCCAGAAAAACACAACAATTAACTCAACAAATTTGTCACTTTCTTGTTTTTGGCTGTCCTTGTCCGTCGTTTTTCCCCCTCCGCCTCTGTGAACTGCTCATGCTCTTTTGCGTGATAGTACTTTAAACGTTTTATGACATTGCTAGAGTTATAATTGGCAACACTGGTGTCACCCCTCGAAACTGAAATCTTGCATATACACGTGGTTGTTGACTGCAGGAAGCTCTGTCTAGCGCTACACTACTGGACATCTCTTGTTCTTCCCCACTTTAAAAGCAGAACTTAGAGGCACTATAGCTGCTGTTTTGGAGCGAAGAAGAAGAAAGGGGGAACATTTTTTATTATATACACATATAATACAGCTATCACTGGATATATTGGGCACTCCCAATGTCTTGAGGGAATTTACTGCATCTTTCTGGTTTTTATCTTTGAAGTGGGTGTCACTGATGGGGTAAATTTGAGCCATTGTCCATAATTCTCAGCATGTAACAGCTTCTGTTTCCTGTCCTTCATAAGTGTCCCTCTGTTTTTGGGCCTGTGTGTGTCTCAGCAGGCAGGTCAGCTGTTCTTCATCGGCCTGCCCTCCAGCTACAGCCTGCCAACGCTGGAAGCCCCCCTGCCGAGGCTCCCCTCCTACGAGAGTGTTCGAAAAAAGGACCGCCAGAGGCAGATCCACATGATGATCGCGGACCGCTTTGGCCTCAATGGACCCATTGTGACTGAGGTGGGATATATTAGGCATCAGGACTGTGTCACAGCAATTGATACACTCAAAAACACTTTGACAATCGAGTAATTCAGGTGCTGTTGTTAAGCATGGGAATAGGAGAGATATTCAACTCCTATTATAGTTTGAGAGAATGCCATTGTCTGTGGTTTCACAATCAGTGGAGACAGTATGAAGTGGGTTCTGTCTATTATGACCACGCTGTCACACAATAATGTAACTGGAGCTTGTTCAAAGATTAGACTGAATTCAGAGGGAAGAGAGCAGGGTGCACTATCAGCTCATCTCATGCTCGCTGCTGAATTGTGCCGCTGTCGGCCGCTTTTCAAGGTTTTCTCGTGTTGATCTTTCGCTGAGCTTTTGAGTCGCTCAACGCTTGAGCAAACAAGGTAATGAGAAAAAGGCACATCAAACATAATTAAAGTCTGCATCCTGAGTGCAAACAGTGCCTGAAAATGCAGCTTTGTGATTCTGTCTTCAACTGTTTTTTTCTCTTCTTTGACCTCCCATCCTTTTCCTTAATTAAACAGTCCCTAGCATGACTGCCCATCTCTCTCTCTCATGCACACACACACAGACACACACAGAAAGCACATTCACACACATTACGTTCCAGTCAACCCATCACTCCTCACTGAAAGTCTCCTACCCCCCTTAAAGAAGAGTTGGCCCCTAAATTTCCCCCTGTCCGTCCGCTGGCCTGAGGCAGGATAGCAATAAAACCTTTGACAGCCTGGTGTGTGTGTGGGGTTGTGGGGTTGTGTGGTGTGTGTAGCGGACAGAGGGCAGGCTTGTAGGGTTGCTCTTGTCGCCTGAGGGTCCCCAAGCAATTAAAAGATAAGAGGGCTCAGTCAGGGAGTGTGAATCTGCCAGAAGTGATCAGAAAGATAATTCAATGGAGGAAAACATGTTCCATGCGGCCGATGAGGGGACAGATTCATTGGTAATGTAAATACAAACATGTTCCACTTGGTTTTTTGGGAAGATGTCAGACCTCAAGAAGTCCTTCAAGCAGCTGTAACCTTTGTCAACCATCACTGTGAAAGTGGTGACTCATTTACCTCATTCACATCAAAATCTGAAAAGCTCCCTCACCTCGCTGTCTTGCCAGTTTCGCATTTTGCACGATACTATGAAATGTGAATCGCCATTTAAACATAACAGGTGGTACACTGAACCCTCTGTTGTGATACGTAAGCATTGCAACTATAGCAGCGTCTTGTGATGGAGGAAATCTAAGATGACACGAGACGGGTTAAAGGTTGAAATACGGTAAATGTACACTTGTAATGTATATATTCTATATTTATAAGACATCTAGCAGCCGCTCAGGTAGGATGTTAACACCAGGTCTGAACTGGGTCAATATCTGCTAAGTGTGATAATGAGAAACAGCAGCATTGAAAACCAAAACAATGAGCTGAAAGATGCTAAAAAAAACGTCCACATAGGTGAGGGAAACTTCACATTTGTTCACATGGACAACATGAAACACAACGATGACACCAACAATTCTGCAAAAAACACTGTTTAAAGAAAATCTTGTTGTTTCCACATGTCCCGCAGCCTCCTCCCACATATGAAGAGAGTATCCGCCAGTCTATGGAGCTGCCGTTCAACATCCTCTCACCTGCTGTGGACATCTCTCCACCTCAGACTCTCTACACCAACCCAGGAGCTGACATTCAGAGCGACGCACCTCATCCAGCCAACTCGGACACCAACACCACCGCTCTACCTGTCTGATCCTCACCGACTTCTCAAGCTGCCCGATGAATGTGAAAAGAACTCTGTAGCTTTCATCCAGATGAAATCGTTGAATTGTAAAGGCTGATCATGACTGGTACCTTCACACGTTCACACGAGCTGATTCTGATTCCTCAAGACTGAGGGGGGAACCAAAGAGGAGCTGCACAGCCTGCAGGGGAGGACACATTTAGCTGGAACACATGAATGTTAAAAACACAGCAAAGTGGATATGAACCTTTTCTGAGGTGGCTGGATCATCCGGATGAGGATTTGTGTATTACTGGGACTGCACCAAAAAGTGACCCTCTGTGTTCTTTCTGAACAGTGTGAATTAGTTTTTTGCTGTTTGCTCTGTTAATTTTTCTGGTTTGTGAGGTTATCAGAGGTGTTTTAATGATAGAGGCTGGGCCATACTGCTCCAGCATATATGGTTCAGCCAGTGAGGTTGAAAAGGTGCCAAAGAGAGTGCCTTTCATGAAGACATTTATTATTTTCATAATACCTCAGTTTTCTTTTTCTTTGCTGAAGCAGACAAGACTCTATGATTTGTCACTTTCTTATCAAAGATTTTGTAACATAACATTTGATATGATTTGATGTCAGGACAGAAAGTGGATTTGTTTGTTCTCTTCTCCAAAAATGTTCAAGTCCTCAGCAGCAGTGAATGTAAAATGAAAACAGTTCCTTGTCCAGACTTGTTTTGTTTGTGCGACTCACGATGTAAACATGATGCAAAATGTTTGTCCTGCATGTTGTCCTGTACTGTATTTATTAAAAAAAACATGTGAACCATCATTATCTCTCTTTTAAAACACATTAAATAAAACTTTTCTTGTTTTTTCTAAAAAATGGACTGTAATAACAACACAGTAGCAGCAGGTGATGATATAACAAAAAGTCGTAATCTGGTGTTGAAAGTGAGGCGGACCTTTGACATCGGGTGGCCAGTTTAAGTAGTGGAGTGGTACCTCATTTGCCCTCATATGATTTTATCAGACCGGTGTGTGACATTAGAATTTTCTCTTCAGGACTATTCTGTCAAAATCTTCATGTTGTCATTTTGAATCCTGGTCAAACAATGATTGTGAGCATATACATTTGATCAGGCTTAAATTTAAAACACCATTATCAATTCAAATCTTGCTGGTTTGAAGTTACTGGTGGGCATATTCAGATCCTTTACTTAAGTAAAAGTAGAATTACAACATTGTAAAAATGCACAAATATTCTGCAATTAAATAAAAACTAGGCACAAAAGAATTTTCAGCAAATCATAGCAATAATATTAAAAGCAAAAGAACTTTTCATTTGCAGAGTGGCACCTGAGTTGTACAGTTATATACTATAGGATTATTATATACTTATTAACATTAAGAATTTTAATGTTATATTACAATAATGATAATAATTGTTAGTATTATTGTTGTTGTTGTTGACTCTGCCCCTCAGTTCTCTATGTGTTTAATGACCAAACTGTGACAGGAACAGCGTCACCTATTGGTTACCTCACAAACATGGCTGCGCGCCTCGTCCACTGGAGAGTCGCCTTCGTCACTGCCGGAAAAAAACCGAAGCTCTCCGATCAGCCAAGTATGTAAACAAGGTCAGAGGCACTGCAGCAGCTCCCACACCAAACCCTCTGAGTCCCGGGCCCTGTTCTCCTCTCAGACCGGAGAAGATCCACACTGCTTCAGCAAACCTCTGCGGATCAAGGTAGGCTGAGCTGTGCGTCATGTCATTTGTTATTTGTGTTGTTCTGCAGGACGCACCACTGAGACAACATTACTTCCAACACTCTGATTCAAATGTCTCATTGTGTTACATCACGTGCATGTAAGAATTAAGAGTATTGCTGCGTCCGTGTTGCAGATTTGCCGCAAAGTCACACGGCAGGTGTGTGTTTACGCACAGTGCGCAGTCATCAGCTGGCCTCCAGATCTGGGTCGCTCTGCAAAAAGCTGCATGGTCATGTTTTCCCACACGAATGAATGTTTTGTAACGGAGCGTTTTCTTATTCCATATACGCCTGCAGCTGGTTTTCAGTTCCTGCACTTCCAATATCATCATGTGCAAATGTCTCTAATGAAATCAGCTTAGTATGCAAATATATATTCTGAGTATAAATCAGTGTCATTTATTGAAATTAGAATCAGAAGTACTTTATTAATTTATTTATATACACCTCAGTGCTGCAGCTTTGTGGAGCTTGACTGAGCTGACAAGTGACAAAAACATCTTTTTATTTTTGAACTTTATTTATTGTCTACTCTATTTGTGGCCACGTCTAATGAAACCATTGATAAACGCTAGTTTCTAAATGGGTTGAAGCTACATGAATCCTCCCTCGTCCTCCTCAGTCTGGGTCGGCATCAGAACCAGTTCAGATTGGTCGTCCGAACAGCTGCAGTGCCGACCAGACCAACCTCAGTCTGAGCTCATAATCTTCTGCTGAGGCTGGAAGGCCTGTCACGTTTTACACTGCCTGCTTTCCATCGCTTGGTTCTGCTCCAGTTAATGATCACTGCTGCTCTCTGACTCTGATGCAACCTCCTTAAAGGTCGACCCGCTTCACATCTCTAACTGGAAATAATTTGACTTTATTAACTTGGTTAGTGGATCATTTTATATTTGACGATGGCAGTCAAGGCCGAGGACACAACATCCCTCATCTTCTTATAAAGTGGTGGTGATCACACTAAGACATTCTCTTCCTTGAACATTGTATCATGAGCTTAATAATTGACTTGACGTGCTGGTGTTTTTGATTAGTGTCTGCTTTCAGAACCCGAAACTAACAATGCATTCTGTTCCACCTCATAACATCCAAATGTAACCAGAAATACCAGTTGTATGCCTCCACCAACCAGTACAGTTTCAGTCTACACATATTTATTACCAGATTCATGTGAGATCACTGTGACCTTTGACCGCTGACATGTAATCAATTAATCTTTGAACCCAAGTGACCAAAATTAGAACAAATTCACTTTTGGCAGATTTGAGTTATAATGTTAAATGGGTAATAAACATGTTTTTTGAGCTTTGACCACATGAATCTAATCAATTAAGAGTGAGTTGAAGTGAACATTTGTGTAAAATAATTTGTCCACAAGGGAAGAAAGAGTTTTGTGAGGTCACAGTGACTGTGACCGTTGACCTCCAGATTCTAATCAGGTTAACAAGAACTAGAGGTCACAGTGACCTTGACCTTTGACCTCCAAAATCGAATCACTTCATCTTGAAGTAAAAGTGATCATTTGTACCAAATTTAAAGAAATTCCCTCATGGCGTTCTGGAGATATCATGTTCACAAGAGTCAGATGGACGACTTGGTTGAAACAGTCACAAGTGACCTGACTGTACACTACAGGTTGAGGTGTTTCACTTCTACGTGGACAAGGAAGTACCCCAAATACATGAATGTGCAACGTCCTGTGTGAAGGCTACTCACCTTAAAAACATGTTCATGTGATAATCTATGATAACGTGTGTCTGTGTTTCTCACGGTAGGACTCTGTCGCAGCGTGACCATGATGATGCAGTGTTTTCACTTCATGGTGGAGCCGGCCAAAAACTTGACGGCCAAGATAAAGGTGACAAATGTGTGGTGCACTCTAAACAAACGCTGTGCGTTTGATGTTTAAACAACCATGTTTCTCTCCCAGCAGAATGGTTTTGAGTCACCTCGACACTGAAGCAGACGGTTGACATGAAAACATTTTTAGAGTAGCATGTGACTGCGTGCGTTTCTCATCTCCTGGGTCTATTTGACCAGAAACAGCCTCTGAGTGCAGAGAGTTGCTGATGAGATAAATCGAGGCAGAGAGCCTGGGAGGGAGGGTGGGTGTCTTTTGTTTCTGCTGACAGCAACAGAACCATGATGTGCATTTTGATGAAGCTGAGTGACCTCCTCCTTTCTAGATTGACCTTATTACTTTCTAATCCACTGGTAAAGCAGCGTTAACGTCTTCCAACTGTCTTATTTTCTTTTTTCTTTTTTTTTACCAAAAACCTTTCTGAACAGTTTTGCTCAGAAAATCCTTTACTTTTTGAATTTCCCTGCAGGAATCACAGAAGAGAGCTAAGAAGGACAAGAGGGAGCCTCTGGATGAGGATCAGTTGTTTGTTTTGGATCTGGCTCGAGACTTCAGCCGAGTGTGCCAGGTACAAACACCTGATAATACACAAGTATATTATCACCTATTTTTGGAAAAGTTAGGACTTGCTTGAACCTTTTTCAAACTTTTCCAGAGGGGCTGTATGTGAGAACACAGGAGAATTTATACATTATGTCCTGCCTCCTGCGTAGTCTAACTGGACGCCACCCCTCACTTGAATGTTGTTGACATTTTCCTGTTATGAACACGTTTGTCAAACTCATACTGTGTCTTCTTCTTCTTCTTCAATGAGCCTTTTTAGAAATGATGATGATTCTACCTTCACCTTTCCTGTGTGTCCCTCTCTGTTCTCTCACTGCAGGGGTCAGAAGTCCTGGAGCACATCTGGGACCAGGATGACACCTGGCCGACTCCTCTCTGCAGGCTCTTCATCGTCCAGTGGGCCGCTATGCTGGAGAGCAAGGTGCTAATCCGAAAAATATCTAAATGATCAATTTCCAGATGACATTACAGAGGCAGGATATAACTATGCTGACACAAGGCATAGAAAGGTTTATTCACTAAATATATGGATCTGATTGTCTGCAGAAGAAGCCCATGCAGACCGATGGCTGGCCAGAGAGGGATGAGGGAAAACTGCCTGATCTGATCACTGAGCAGGACCTGCTGCAGGCCAAAAACGTGATTCTCAATTGGATCAAGGACCTGAGAGCTCAGCCAGATGTAAGTTCCTGTTCTGCTGATTTTTGCAGTTTTCTGCTGACACGTTCCAATCCCACTGATCATCTTGCAGCAAAGCGTGTGTCCTGGGGAGCCTGTGGCCAAGGTTCTGGAGGATCTGCAGTCAGCCTGGCGTTGGGGCCGTGTGCCCAATCTGCTGACTGCTATGGAGCTGGTCATGTGGACTTTACTGCTGCAGCGCCCAGATAAGGTAGAAGTCCATGCTATGATACACACATTGGGATCTGAACTTCATTTTGGTGTAATAGAAGCCTTGTTGATGTTTTCTTGCAGGACACCATACCGCAACAGTGGCTCATGTGGAAGCAGAGGACTCAGAATATTGGTATGTTGAGCATATAAGTAAATTAAGGTTAATTTCATTTGTAAACATTTACATTCTGAAGAGTCTCTGATTATCTCCTTTCAGGTGCCATATCCTACATTCCTCAACCAGGTAAGAGACATACAGTAGATCAGCATTCAAACCGAAAGCCTGATTTGTTTTATTTTAAAACCCCTGCATGAGTTTTTTTTGCAGATCATTTAATTGTAGTTTTGCAGAATCCAATTCCACAAGGCTTAGTATTAGATTCGTATGCAGATAGATGGATAGTGTGCATGTCCAACCCCCACTGGGCACAAGCTCGGGACAAAAATCAGCATATAAATGAAAACCAGAAGTTGCCACACAATGAAATTTTCCAGCTCCCAGAATTTTAATTGATTCAACATTTTCCCCTCTAAGTTCATTGTCAGGCAAACTTCAACGAGAATAAAAAACAGGCAACATTACGGCAAACTTTTCTGGTTGAAATTTGCATCAAATGTAATTTCGAGAGCTGGAAAATGTCAGTGCAACCAAAGTCTCCTTTCCTCAACCTTAAAACCAAATTATCCAATCTGGTCTATAAATAATGGTCATATGCCTTCAATTCTAAACTGAAAACAATTTTTTTGATTCTGTAAAACCAGTTTGGTGTAATTAAGTTGCATTCACTGTCATTTCTTACTTTTTTGCAGTGTGGGACTGGATCTCAGATGCTGCAGGTACACGATTCATTTTGTTAGTTTGTTGTGTTAGTCAGTAAGCTGTGTTAGTCAGTAGTCTAGTTAATCAAACGGTTCCATGTCCCTGCAGTTGAGGTGACTCTGGATCTGGACACAGCCAACCCTGATCTTCTCATCTCAACTGACGAGAAGAGGATGCGCTGTGGCTTTGAGAGGAAGGATGTTCCCAACTACCACCAACGCTTCGACGGCTGGTGGTGCGCTGTCGGAGTGGAGGGCTTTGACTCTGGCCGGCACTACTGGGAGGTGGAGGTCGGTGAGCGGGATTGGCGGCTGGGAGTGGCTAAAGAGTCTGCCCTGAGGAAAGGCTTCAAGTCGCTGAACACCAACACAGGGTACATGACCCTGCGGCTGGAGAGGGGAACTGAGCTGAAGGCGCTGACTGTGCCCTTCACCGCCCTGCCACCGGGCCTCATCCCCCGCAAGGTTGGCATCTACCTCGACTACGACCAGGGCCAACTGTCCTTCTATGATGTGGACAAACACCTTCACATTTACACCTACAATGAGAGCTTCACTGAGAAGCTGTTCCCCTTGTTTGGTACAGTGGAGATTATTAAGGATCTGGTGATTAAGTCCCCAGCTGCTAAGACCCAGTGTCTCTGCTCCACTTCCTGCCTCTGGGGTTGAATTTCCTTCTGTCACATCTTCCTCTAAACTCCAGTAGACATCCTATAAAAGTAAGAGAAACCCAGTTATATCATGCTGTAATCCGACTCAGTGATCCTGATGTAAAACACAATACTAGCTCCACTATGTGACCACACTCTATGCTGCTGCTGCTTCAATGTGATTGTTGCTACCCCTATAGAGTTATCATGTTACCCTTTGCTCACATGCATAATGTATTTTCATATTGTATATTTGAAACAAGCCTATAGCTTTAATGTAATGTAATGTGCAATATGAATCCTGCAGTAAGAATGCACTTTGTGAATTATAAATAAACCAAATCTGTGTCTTACGTTTTGTCTGTTTATTGGTGCAGGGCTGCAGTGTTGGGTGTAACAAAGCAAATGTATTGTTTGAAGATATTTGAGCAGCCATGTTTGTGAGGTATCATATAGGTGATTCTTTTACTATTTGTGTCTGTAAAAACAGATGCAGAGTTACTGATGATGTTGATGATAGCAAATAACAGTAACAACAACAGCAATAATGATGATAATAATAATTAGAATTATTTAAGAAATTAGCAAAACAACATAAAGCACAAAAATAATAACAAGCAAATAGGAATAAACGAATATACAATACCAGGGGTTACAACAAGTTTCTCAAACAAATGCAAACAGTGATAAAGGAAACAGATAATATATATAAATATACAAAATAATCCTTTATTAATCCTAAAGTGGGGAACTTTACAACGTTACAGCAGCAGAGGGCAGTCACAAATAGACATCAGAAAAGTAATATAAGTTGCATATAATACATAATAAAATCTAACTAGATCAATTGCAATCATATTTAATATATTACACATTAAAACTGTATATAATATATTAAATTTGGCCTCAGGATTGAACGTTTAAACCGTTTTTATTATTGTCCTCAGAATAACTCTGGTTCGACTCCGGTGATGACGTCATTGGTGTGCGACGACACCAGACCCCCGCTCCTTCCCGGGCTCTGATTGGCTCGGCGCGTTATTCTGGCCCCCGGAGTGAGTTCGCCCTCCTCGGGTGTTGGGGTTCGGGGGGATAAAGACTCCGGAGAGTGTTTCATGACACAAACAACATGACTACAAGTTTAAAAGCGGCTTTAAAAACCCACTTCGGGTTCGACGGCTTCAGGACCAAACAGCAGGAGGACGTGGTGAGCGCGGTCGTCAGAGGTGAGTTCAGCGGCTGTGTGTTTATCTGCCGTGCTAGTTAGCTGGTGTTAGCTAGCAGAGCAGCCTGAGAACGTGAAGCTGGATGTGAAGTGTGGTTGTTGACACCAGTGTGTGACATGGTGGTGTTTCCTGTGTGCAGGGGACCGGGATGTGTTCGTGTGTATGCCCACTGGAGCAGGGAAGTCCCTCTGTTACCAGCTGCCTGCGGTGCTGGCTGAGGGCATCACTCTGGTTATATCCCCGCTCATTGCTCTCATTCAGGTCAGTGTCTGTCTCCTTCCTCCACTGGCAGGTGCAGATAGGTAGGTAGGTAAGTGGGTGAGTAGGGACTCAAGGTGGGTGGATGGGTGAGTAGGTAAGTGGGTGGGTGAGTAGGTGGGTGGGTACATAGATGGACACTGTCATAAAACGTGGTTAGGATGGAAGGTTAGGAGGCTCTCCACAAAAAAATGATAGAAGAAGACCAACTTATGTCTGTTCACTTTAAACTGTCGCGGTTTGCGCATGAAATATAAAATCTGAAATATAATATATATATTATACACACATCACACACATATGAGCTTCAGTGTACACTCTCACTCACTCTCTGTACACTCTCACGTGTCGCTCTTTTCCCAGGATCAAGTGCAACACCTGAGGGAGCTGAACATCCCCGCCTGCTCCATCAACTCCAAGCTCCCAGTAGGCGAGCGCCGTCTGATCATGAGCGACCTGGAGAGCAGCCAGCCGAAGCTGAAGCTCCTCTACATAACACCAGAGATGTTGGCGTCCCCCTCATTCCAGCCGTGCCTGACAGGCCTGTGCTCCCGCGGCCTGCTGTCCTACATGGCCGTGGACGAGGCTCACTGCGTCTCCCAGTGGGGCCACGACTTTAGGCCGGACTACCTCAAACTGGGTGAGCTGCGTGCGCGCCTGTCTGGAGTTCCCTGCTTGGCCCTGACAGCGACAGCACCCAAGAATGTGCAGCAGGACATTGTTCAGTCCTTGAAGCTGCACTTGCCGCTGTCTTTTGTTGCACCGGTGTTTCGCAGTAACTTGCACTATGATGTGATCTTCATGGAGCTGCTGCCGAACCCTTATGTCCACCTCCATGCTTTTATTAAGCAAGCACTGGCGCTGGGCAGTGGGTCTAATGAACAGGTCAGTAGACTGGACTCAGTGATGTTTGGATTCTTCATTATGACTCCTCATAGTTTAATATACATGTCACGTTGGAGACAAACAAAGAACAGAAATACAAAAATAAATGAATCATAAGACAACTGCAATGGCGAACCTAAGGTTTTCAATATATTTCAATAATATATATATGTTAGTTTCCACATGCACGGAAAGTTCTTACAAAAAGTCTTACAAAAATTCTATTTCTGCCAGAAGTCAATGATTTTGCATTTTGTTTGTAAACTTCTGTCCATATCTGATGGTGTGCTGAAGGCTGGATTTTTTACAACTGGATAACAAAACGGTTATTTTAACACACTGTGCCGATCATCAGCTCTGAAATGGAACAAAATCACATCCTGCAGAGCGTTATAATTATTTGTTTTTCCAGACATTGTTTTTAAAATTTTTAGAATTCTTGTTTGATACAGAAAAGTAAAATCTTTGGCTCGTGATATTTTCATTGGCTGGTTTCCTCACACTTTATGGTGTTTGTGAACAGGGCTGTGGGATTGTTTACTGTCGGACCAGGGATGGCTGTGAAACGGTGGCTTACCAGCTGACCAAGCTTGGAGTCTTGGCCAAGCCTTACCATGCAGGTAATTGTGTTTTTCTGCTCAGTATGTGCAGTATTAGAAAATACCAGAAATAATAATAATGTTTGACTTTTTGTGCTTTTTTCAGGTCTGAAAACAGGAGATCGCACAGAGGCCCAGAATGAGTGGATGCAGGGTAAAGTTTTGGTTATTGTCGCCACCATCAGTTTCGGCATGGGAGTAGACAAGGCGAACGTCAGGTGAGGGAGTGGGGGGCTTTTGCTGCATTATTTTTATGCTACTTACTGTATTTAAATTTATAGTGTATATGCTGATGTTTCTGTTAATCCCACAGGTTTGTAGCTCATTGGAACCTCGCTAAGTCTTTGGCCAGTTACTACCAAGAGTCCGGACGAGCAGGGCGAGACGGACTGCCCTCCTCCTGTCGCACATACTACTCCCGGAGAGACAAGGAGCAAATTAACTTCCTCATCCGACAGGAAGTCGGCAAGAGACAGGTCGGCATGGCAAACAGAGGACTCAGAATGTAAGGATTCAGATTAACGTCAATGTTTGTGAACATTTCTGATCAATATTTCCACAGGCAAAACGCGGTTCTGCAAAAGAGACGGACAAAGCAGCCATTATAGACTTTGAAGCCATGGTGTCATTCTGTGAGAAAGAAGGGTAAGTGAAGAATTCCCTCTCACTTTTTGTTTATTATTTACAAATCAAAGTGGGCAGTACAATAAGTGTTAAGTCAAAGCCTCACTTCGTTACATAATCCATTTTCCCTTTGCTTAAGTACGTCATGCGTAATACAACTTTAATCATATACATGCTATGTCAGTTTGCGTACAGCAGAGGGCGGACTTGATCTCTCTTCGAGTCCCAGTTATGAAACAGCTTCAGTTCAGGAGAATCTTGTCCCACTCCTCAACAATGTCTCACAAACAAAGCAATTTATCTTCCCCCATCATATCTTACTGTTATTGTTGATGTCCTGCAGTTTATTTCAATTTCTATTTATTTTATTTAGTTATTTTCACTGCTCAAATTCCATGTATTTTGCCTTCATGATTTAAAGTTGCATTTTGAGTGTGGCCCTGCCTTTTCCCAACGTCAGGGGAGTTGTTGCCCTGTAGAGAGTGGATTCTTCTGAAAACCTGGCACCTTTGGCAGGTGTTTCTGGCAGCCAGTCAGGACACCCCTCTCTGTGCCCGTCAGTTCAGTTTATTGTTCAAGGGTTTGGCTTCTTTGGTGCAGCTGGACACACCCTGTCTGAACCTCCGCAGAGATCTTGAATGTCTGCCTATGAATAACATGGCAATGGCACTTGAGAGAGCTGCAGAAAAACACTTGCAACTCTTTTGTTTGTGCTTAGATGCTTGATGTCGGAAGCTGCACATTTGAATAATCCTCCTCGCGTTGAGCACATTTGTTCAGATATTCGGTCCCTTCATCTTGGTCTTGCAGCAGCGGCAACAACAGCAGCAGGTCAAGCAGGTCACCACTGACATGACCACCACCACCACTGTGGGAGAGCAAATCAGCAGTGTCACAACCAGAAAGTTTTTTTTAAGAATCCAGAAAATCAGTAAAGGAAGAGAGGTGACTTACAGATGAATGTTAGCAGGACGAGGAAAGCCCCCACATCTATACTGTTGGCGCTGGGCAGATTCTGCAACTTTACCCATACCCTGTTCAGAAGGGTCAGCGTCTGTTCTCCAGCATCCATCCTATTGACAAAGCAGATATACCGGTGGATGTATTTACACTGAAAGGTCAAGTTTACACAGAGTCACATTTATTTGCCTGTGTTTAGTGTCATCAGGATGTAACTCCTGTTCCTGACACCCAGAGTGGGTAAGGCAACATCGCTGGTGTATTGACACAAGCAGATCTTTTCCAGCTGTTTATATACGGACATGATGAAGTGCAGCTTAACAGATTCTCAACCTGTGGTTTTGTGATTTTTAAGAGAGAATTTTGGAGAATTACAGCGAAAGAAACTCAGACCTTTAACTGGCTGGGAGTGAACAGATGAAAAGTATGTAGTGTTTCTAGCCAAGCAGGTGTTTGGGAGTGAGTCAGTTTACCAGGGTGTTAATGCAGAGGGAGGTGCTGGTGGTTCAGGGTGTTAAGCATATCTAATAGGTTAACCCTCTCTCAAGCTTTCTGTAAGAACACATAACAAGAAGAGGAGAAAAACAAAGCAGGGTTCTTCTTGTGGTCACATCCCTGTGTGTTTAAATGTGTTTTTATTTGTATAGACGGTGCTGCATCTATAACAACGGTATATAATTTTAGTGGCTAGTGTCCAATTTTGCATGATTTACCATTGTCTGTGTAAAATGGGTGTGACTGTCTTGGGGTTCAGCTATTTGCTGGTTTTGGCAGCAGAGTGATTATGGTGTTGCGCTGCATTACAAGACATGGTAGAAGGATACAAACACCGAATAACAGAATTAATTTTTTTAGGTCAACTTTTTGGGGAACAGAATTAATTATGTCTGAGCCAAAGGTTTTTGCCAACAGTGTTTGCTTAGCTTAGCACAAAGACTAGAAACAGGGGAAACAGTTAGCCTTCCTCTGTCCAAAAGTAAGAAATGAAATAAAAAATAATCCTACATATCGTTTTCTTTGTCCAGACTGTTTGAAAACCAAAGTCTAAAAATGACATTTATCTGTTTCTACTAAACTAGGGGAATGTGTTGTTAATTGAAATCATGTGTAAAATCTGGATAAAAACAATGTGGATTTTTGTTTTTAATCTGCAGCAACTCTTTAATTCTGTGTTTGGTTCAGTCACGAACAATCATTATATATCAACATCCAGCTGTTATACTGCTAAACTTCAGATTTACCAATTCCTCATTTTAAAGCTGACTAGTTAAAATTGTCTCTGTGTCCATATTTTAAAATCATTCTTCTCATTCTTCCCAGCCTGCGCTTTGTCTCTCAAACACACTTAAAACAGACACACTTGCTGCAAAAGCACTTACCTGCGAGAGCCCTTGTTGTTTTCACTCACTCAGCCAAGCCCAGACTTAAGTGTCAGAAATGACAAAACAGAAGTGAGCAGACCAGTTGATGCGGAGGAGACAGTGATGAGCGTTGCAGGAGTTTGCCTGCAGAGCGTCTGAGTGCACTAAATCATCCAGAGGAGCCTTCACACGCTGCCTGCGATTAGCAGACAGGTTGAGATTAGGGTTAGGAGGGATAATGTCTCAGATATAGATGATGGTCTGCATGAGGAGTCGAAGAAAAGTAAGATGAAACTCAAACAAATCTCATTCGCTGCTCCGTTGTTGTCCTCCCTTTGAAATTTGGTTTTTTTCCAGCTTCTGCTCCTCAGGCTTGTTCTCTTCTTTAGTGGTTTTTGTTGATGTCACACACGTACAGTAGTTATCTGCTCTGCAATTTGACTGGTGAGCCTCACTTTGTATGCGTCCAATGCTGCCTGGGAGTGTTCACTTCACACACTCTTATTGTTCCTCCTCGTCTTTCCCCACCTCCTTTGGTTTAGACTGCTCCTCTCTCTTTCATGGCTGTGGAGGCAGCGTTTCCATTTCTAGGTAGTTAGAATGTTGTTCTGTAGAAAGTGGCTCGTCTAATGAGCCACCTCCCAAACACACTGTGTGGTTGTTGTGTGAATATTGACTGTTACATAATACTGGATCTGATATAGGCCTTTTAAAAGAATGGAACAGTCACAGAGAAAACCAGAGATTTAAAAAAAACAACAAGCAGGAAGTGAGCTGTTGTTAGAAACGACTGAATGTTGTTTCCAAAAAGCTTTAATATGCAGGAAGATGAGAGAGAAAAATCACTCCTCAAATTAAGATTTGATTTGCCCTAATGTATTTTTGATATCAGAACATACAAAAGTGCAGATGTTAATAGCTCCTTGTGATTTAGCTTTTGTGTTGTGTTTTCCAGGCAACTGTATTTTTAATGTCATGTGACAAGAGAGTTCTATTTGCCTCATTTCATAAAAGAAAAATCGATCACAGTTGTGGTTACACAACATCTAATAGATCGGTCATGCTCTAGAAAGCCTCCTCTAACAGCCTGTACATGATGGAGTGGCGTTTGCTTTTCACTATTTAAATGCAAATTCTAATATGCAGCAAAATTCAGATTGTTTTGTGAATTTATTCTAACTTTCAGGAGCTGTAGTACCTCGTTTGATCAGCGTCTCTCATCTACCCAACAGTTGTCGTCATGCCATCATCTCCAAGTTCTTTGGGGACAAGGCGCCAAACTGTGCCGGCGCCTGTGACTACTGCCGCAACCCTAAAGCTGTACGAGCCCAGCTGGAGAAAGGGGCTACCCTCAGCACCAGAACCGCTGCAGCTCAGAGCAACAAGCCCACAGGACCGTTTGGCTTCATTCCCAAACTTTACGAAGGTGGAAAGAAGGGCTACGGCTTTGAGAGGCAGGACATTTGATTTGTCCCATTGGGGATGTTATATTTCTGATGTGTGGATTCAGTCTAATATAATGCAGAGGCAGTAGACTGACACTGATTTCACATCTTGTAGGCATGACGAAGGGGAAAACAGCGGTGAAGATGATGGCACAACGAGGAAAAAGGAGTTTTCTGACCTCTTCAAGAAGCAGATGAACCTACGCAAGGTGAAGACTCATTATTTAAAAATATACACTGTCTCTGTCTGAAAACAACTCCATACATTGTTTGCTTTGTGTCTCTAGTCTGTACATCTGCTCTCCAGCTGTGGGTAGCACAAAGACGGGGGCTGCTGGGGCCCCTGTGAGTGCAGCTCGTAGTAAATCGCTCCCACATGTTCAGCGGAGCTGTGGCACAACACTGAAGGCAAACGATTCCTCAGCAGGTCCAAGTGGAGCCTGGCTAAACAGTTTACAACACATCAATAAAATAAGGAATGTCATAATTGTAAAATGGTAAAAGAAGAACTTAAACGAAGGCTTCATCGCAATGGAAATTAAGGGGAACTTCATTTCGTTTCACCACTAACAACTACATTTAAGTTTTAGGCACAATGAAGAGAAATACCAGATTATAGTGATTCTACACCCAAATATAAATACATGGCATATTGGAGATGACAGTAGAAAAACGTGTCAATTAGAATCAACAATAGCTGATTTAAATTTATGTTACAATTCTTCATTAAATGTCTTAAAACAACCTGTTAAATATATTTTTGACTAGTGTACTTACATTTTCAAAATGTTCCCAACAATGATCAAACCTAGAGAATTTATATTCAAGGTAACAGGGCATTTTATTTTGGTCGCCTTTTTAATTGTTTCTTATCAGCTTTACTGGTGGCATTGCCCGAATCTGCTATAACTTCTTAGGCAAATGTCGAAGAAAAAAACACTTCTAGCCACAATTATTCATTTGTTTTTGCTGCTTAAGTTTAATAAAACATATTTACATGAATTCACCCGTGCACATGATTTGTTCAACTTTAAAGCCACTGAAGCTGCCATAGTGTTTGTATGAAACTCAAGTCACAAGTAATACTCACACCAAGTTTTGTGAAAATCCTTGCATGTGTTATTGAGTTATTTTGTCCACACACACACAGACATGGAGAAAATCCTCCCCAGCTTATCTAGAACTACTAACTTCTGTCTGTCTTTCTTCAGGGAACTGATGGTCAGAGGGAAGATTTTGTTCCTCCAGGTAAAATCAATGAAGAAGAAACTAATTCTGAATACGCAGGCTGATGTTGACGGTCATGTAACTGCTGTGTCCCTCTGTGCAGATGACGGCTGCCCACTCAGAGATGCCAGCAGCCAGAGGATCCCCAGGCTCACTGTAAAGGTACAGTGGAGCAGTTGAACGCCACCAACACATTCCTCATACCCGCTGCACTCATTATCACGTCTGCAGGAATTCTGTGACTCATGTGTCATGTGATGTGAAGGGAGATGGTGGAGCCAACGTTTTAACTGAGCAACACAACAGCACTGTCGAATAAACTGTGAACACAACACAGAGGAGAGCGCCTCTGATCAAAACAATATACTGCCACTGTGATTTATGTATGTCGTAAACAGATGTAATTTAAATTAAAACTCTTTCATATGATGATATATGAACTCTACACATGAGAGGGATCAGAAAATGTGTTTGCTTTGTCATCTTGTACAGCAAAAGTGTAAATATCCATTTACAATTCTGGAAATGAGGATATTTACAGAACATATCTGCACAACGCACTAAATTATTGTTTTTATTTGATTGTTAATTGCCCTGATTTTCCAGGCCAGAGAGCACTGCCTGTACCTCTTGGAAGAGGCATTAATTGACCACCAGGGGGCAGAAGGCACATTCATGTGAGTATGCAGACACATGAATCATCATTCTTGTGAATATTAATTTTCTTCAGAAACTTAAATCGCCTTATGCTGTTCTTCCTCTCCCCTCCGTCTCTCAGCTGCGACCCTCTGTCCTCGGCGGCGGATCTGGAACACACGGTTTTTAAGAACAGCAAGTCTGCCAACTTATACAAGGCTGCTGTGCTAAAGAAGGTAGGTTCTGACTGCCCTGCTGCTGATATAAGGAAGATACAAGCTGAACTCATCTCTTATTCTGAAGGTGGCAGAAATGAAGAAAACAGCAACTCCCTCGACTGGAGGAGAAAAAAGAGACAAGATGAACAGCAGCAGTGAATTTGGAGAAGTTGAGTCTGAACCCGTAGAGGAAGCATCCACCTCCTCTTCTTTGTCCATTTCTGAGGAACTGCACGGGTTCAAGCCTGCATCACAAATCTACTCTGTAAGAGTACACACTATTCTTATGGTGGATTGTTGTGTTTTCAGACGGTTCTTTAGATATAAACACTATTTATTTTCCATTATTCCTGCAGCTGAAGCGTAAGAGGGTCGGAGCAGGCCTGAGGGGCTCATCGGACCCCTTCAAGACTGCCAAGGATCTGCTGGAGCTCTCCGTGATGGACACTGCTTTGAACAAAGGGTCAGAGAGTGGCGGTTTTTACAATGACGGCTCAAGAGGCTGTGGAGAGTCGTCTGTCAAGGGAAACAAGGAGAGAATAAACACAGACATAGCTTCAGCTGTAACATCGTCCGTTCAGGCCAGAGCAAATGCAGTCGCTGCCTCTACAGAGAGCCAGACGAAAGCTGGCAAAGCCATAAGCAAGAAGCAGCAGAAGCTGGCGGAAGCGGCAAAGAGTTCCCGCAACATTTCTCAGTATTTTGCCAAGAAGCAAACAATGGATAAAAGCCAGGATGAGCCACTGGAGCTGAAGGGACTTGATGCTGTGGTGTCTCAAACTACCAACTTAGTCCAACATGAAAACTTTTTCCAGCTGGAACACTCACCTTCCAGTGTGGAAGCTATGGAGAGAAGTCCTGTGGAGTCGGAGGCTCAGGATGTGATGCAGGAAGAAAGTAAAAAGGAAGTGATCGTTACAGCTGATCAAGTCGAGGAGGAAATGCATCAAACAGAGACTTTAGAGCTTAAGCAGATTCATGACTCATCTCATCAGGAACTAAGGTCTGCAAATAAGTGATTTCACCATTTAATGAAAACTTTGCTGTTTTTCTATCAACTGTAACAGAATATTTTACCCCTCAAACAGACAAGAAGAACAAGAAGCAGCCAAACCAGCTCTAATACAAGAGGTAGGTGTCGCTTTCCAATCCGGTCTGAAGATTGATTTCCTGCACAGTCGCTAATGATGCATGTGTCCAGTTGACAGATGACATGAAGTCAAACAGAGAGCCGTCGTCTCCTCCAGCGAAACGCAGCCGGCCTGCAGATGGCAGCAGCAGAAGAGTGACCTTCAACCCTAACGTGCAGGAGAGGGCCCTGCAACCGGTGAATGAGCCGCCGAATCCAGTGACGCTGAAGGAAGCGGCCGATGTTGTCGTCCGATATCTGGACCCGTTTTACACTCAGGGGAAGTTTGCCACAAAGGTGGGAGAGATGATTATCGTTTCTTGCAGAGAAGCGGGAGAGAGAAATGAAATAACTAGTTTGACCAATTTGATGTTAAATTCTATGCGGTTGCTTTTTTTTGGTTTAGGAGCTGTTCAAGTCCTTTGCTCGCTACTTGTCTCACCTTCTTACAGAAGGAAGGAGTCTGGGAAAAGGTCAAGGTAAGTAAGATAAATCATTAACAAGAATAAACAATTCTCCAACTTTGCACTGTTACGAACACCAACAGCTCTTTAATCTTGTCTTTCCAATCTGACTTCTTCATTTGTGTTGTCTATGAGCATGGCACCTCTTTTTCAGCCTGAGATATTTATATCTTCGTCAATATGTGTTCGAAACGTCATCAACACTCCCACTTGCTCGCTGTGAACTTTCCAGACTGCTGTATTCTCACACAGGCTCGGAATTTGTATTCGTTTAAATACATCGTCATCTCACGTATAGAATGTCAGTTCATGTCTGAAACCGGCTCAACTCTCTGCCTCTCTGTGTCCACAGTTAAAACAGAAGCCAAAGCTCTCATCAAGAAATTCTTCAGCAGAGTCCAGTGCTGTGAGAGTGAGGCAGACTGGAAGCACCTTAAAAGACCACACAGCTGTAACGCCACAGAGAACAAGGAATGAGGGGAATCGAAACGTAGTCATTTTTATGGCCAGCCCCTTCACTTCCTCTTTGTCAGTGCCTCTTGTTTCATTGATCTCAGGCTTTGTCGCTGACGCCTCACGACCAGGTTCATGGTTGATTTGCTGCTAAACTTCTTTTTTTTGTCCAGGCTGGTTGCTGCTACAGTGGTTTTTTTCCACAATCAAGCAATAAAAAATGGACTGTTGCATCCTGAGATTGCAGAAGTAGAACTCTGTGCAAACATGATACGTGTTCTTTTATGTCTCTGCCTGTTAACTGAAGGATGTGTACACTTCACAGTTCTGATGACTAAAACTTGAAATGACTGTTCTACAGGCAGAAACAGACGTCATCTCAGTATAGTCAGGGAATAATACTGTGTATGTGGCACTACACTCCTCTTTTTTTCTCCTGCACTTGTACGTGTTTAGAGTCTTCGCGTGCTGATTTTCTTACTGAGCTTCACTGGAGTGTATCCTCTGGGGACCACGAATGTCTTCACTAAATTTCCTGCCAATCTATGGAATAGTTAGTTCTGGACGAAGTGGTGAACCGACCAAACAACTGAGCTTCTCTCAGGTTGTCAGTAATGTGAAGTGTACACACCCTGAAGTAAACTGGGTTAAAGTATAAAAACACTTATCAATTCAACCACATTGTTCTCTGTTGCAAGGGATTTTTTTTTTTTTTTACTTTTTAATTGCTGCTACGTGTTTTGACATAGTCTACTGAACGGACGAACAGAGAGCAAAGCAAATGAGCATAAATGATAAGATACTGTATGGTATAAAAGTCTGTATTTTATTTTACTTAAACATAATTTTGTAGATTCTCTGGTAATAGAAGAATTTGTGCTAAAGGATGTGTATTTTTCTTTTCTTTTATCTCGATGGTTTCTTATGTTAGTCCCTGTCAGGTTAGTGTGCGGCCGCAGTTTGTCTCCACAGACCAGATGGAAAAAAAACCCAAAGAGTAAACTTGAAGCACTGATGGACGAAGACTTGAGTCTGAGCAGCCATCGATGATCTGCTCTTTGCTGCGAAATGTTTACAATAAATTCTATGCTGAACAGGAACTGAGTGTGAGACGTTTCTGATATTAAAGGGAAATTCAATTGGACAAATCCACTTATTGGAGGGGGGAGGGGGAGGAGACGTCGGTGCCAGGGACAAGTGTTAGATATACAGTGACGTCACCTCCAGCAGCGCTGCCTTCACGTGCCTCATGTTACTTCCAGCTTCTGATGTACCTGAATTCAGTCCCTGAAAGAGAAGCGTTGAAAATGCATGAAGGGAGTTGATGATGATGCAGTTTTATTGTTGTCGTCACAGTATTTTATATATATGTTCAAAATAAACATACACTAATGATAGAAAAAGTAAAGAACACTGTAGAGATTTACCTTTTAATATTTTAAATGTTTTAGTGTATTTAATCTTTATGTATAGGGTGTTATTTATCCAATCATTTATATTTATGATAATAATGTTATGCAGAGCTGATGTCTGTGTCTCTAAACCTAATCTACTTTTACTCTAAAGCAGTAAGAAATGTTTTCCATCACATATGGGATTATTATCATTTCTATTATCATTATTAGTATTATTGTGCTAGTGTTCTTCTGCAGCATTTACGGCCGCACTTGAACGCATCATCAGGAGAAGAAGCGGAGCAGTCAGTCTTCCTCTCCTCCTCCTCTTCCTCCAGGCTGTGCAGCTCATCCTCTCACTGATGAGACACAGACTCACTTGTCTCCTCCTGCAGCTGCAGGTCTCTGTGTTTTGTCTCCGTCCGCTGGTTCGATCTCTCAGCTGCAGGTTTGCCACAGACCCGCAGACAGAGGCAGGTGCTTCTGGAGTCATTTGTCTGAAAGGGTTACAGAGAGGGAGGGGGGAAGGAAGCTGCAGGCACTTCCGGTCGAGTGAATGAGCAGATCACATCCCCGGTGAAGAAGAAGGAGGAGAGGAGGAGGAGGAGGAAGAAGAAGTTGAGCTGTATCGATGCTTCGTGCAGGCAGGATGGAGGAGTTTGTGACGGAGGAAGAGGAGCCGTGGTACGACCAGAGGGACCTGGAGCAAGGTGAGGCATCACCCAGCATCCCTCCTGAGGGGGGGGGCAAAGATATATACACATTTTGATGTAAATGGCTTCATGCATTGAGGGGGAGGCTGGTTGGAAAGAAAGGAGGGAGGAGGTTACCTCCATTTGTAAAACAAAAACAATCCCTGCACCATGATGAGTGTACACACGTCTCTGCCTGCCTCTGTGTGTGTGTGTGTGTGTGTGTGAGAGAGTGTGAGAGAGTGTGAGAGAGAGTGGAGCTTCCTGCACTTCAGCTCCTCTCCTGCCAATTATTTTGATCTCGTCAGTGTTTCTCAGAATAGCCCTGCTGTGTCTCTGTCTGCCTGAGTGGATGTTTGCTTCATCTCCTTCCTCCTAGAGCCACAGATACATTTCTCCTTCTCTCTTATTTCCTCCAACACTTTCTACTCACTCTGGTGTGTAGAGGAGACATAGGAGGATGTGACTGCACCCATCATCATCATCATCATCATCATAGCTGTGACATTTAGTGCACAAACCAGAGGTCAAAACAATCAAGTCCATTGTGGGAGGAAAAATGCAGAACATCTTGTAGATGTGGAAGTTTTTGAACAAAGAAAACACTGAACAGTGGAGCAGCCACAGCCTTCGACTTCACTTCTTTGTCTGAAATATTTGACTGCAGCACAGTGGACAGTGATTTTGTGATTATTTATTTTTCATCTTTCAATCAATCAATCAAATTTGAACTGTCTCGTAGGGCATCACAAGGTGCAACAGTCTCTGCCCTTAACCCTCAGCAAGAGTGAGGGAAAACCGGTTCAAAAACCCTTTTTAACAGGGATAAAAAAACAGTAGAAACCTCAGAGAGTCACATGTGATGGAGCCGTCTCCCAATCTAACATTCATGAGAATAGACTGTCTAACATAAATGCAGAGGTAATAATGGTAGTATATATATGCGCAGGCGTATTGTAATGATAATCCACGATCAGCTGTCGCCATGATCCACAAGTGTTTGCATTCATTGTTGCACCGAATGCACTGCCTTGTTTTTACAGGAAGTGAAATGTAATGATCGACCCTGTGTGTGTGTGTGTGTCTGTGTGTCTGTGTGTCTGTCTGTCTGTGTGTCTGTCTGTGTGTGTCTGTCTCCTCCTGCAGCATCACCTGATCACCTGCTGACCCAGAGAACGAAAGCAGCTTTTTGTGTCTCATTGTCATTCATTGTCAGATGAGTGACGGGCAGGTGGATATTGCTGCGTGTGTCGCCGTGCAGTCACTGATTCATTAATCCGCTGGTTGATCTGATTAGGGAGCCCCACACGAGACCTCCTTAGCAGGGATCAAAGATTCCAGGCTTTGGGGGTGAGATCGGAGGCAGAGTAAAACAAACGCCACTGTAACACTTTTGCCCCACAAATGCAGCTGTTATGTAACCCCCCCCCCCCCCCCACCTCGCTCAGCTATGTGGTGACCCCTGTGTTCATTATAATCTGGCAAAACATATGAAGTGCGTCTGGACAGATGGCGCGGCCGCGGTGATGTCATGGATGTGCTGCGGCCTCATTTGAGGGCCTGTGACTGAACGTGAGATTCAAGCATGACAGAGATGCACGTGCAGAGAGCAGAAGAAAAGAAGCTTCAGGCTAAAGCATCAAATGATACGATGCATGTTTGATCCTGCACGTGATCCCTTATGGCTGGAATTTAAGTAAATGTGTATACACTCATCGATAGGTGCTCATGATCTGTTGACTGTGCGTATGACGGCCCTTTGTGTTCTCAGGAGTCCGGTGAGTGATGTTTCCTCCTCTCATCCATGTGCATCCTTCAGAAATTACATAACTGCGACATCGGCACGTGCCGGCCCTCAGGAGCAGGAACATTAGTGTGACTGAGTAAGACCTTTCGAGTGAAGGCTCGCTGTGCTCTCCCCTCACACGCTCTCTCACTCAGCTCATTATCACTCGACCGTCCAGGCCCGTGTTCGGTTATCAGCTCTGCATTGTTGAGACGGGAAATTACAGCCTGTCCTCGCTGTCCTCTGCAGCAGCAGCGATGACAATAGTCGTTACAGCGGGAAACACAAAAGTATCAGAGCAGCGAGTTCAACCCACCAGGATTGAGGAAGGTCACCGCACCACCCGTCCCACAATAGTTCATTACATGGCACATTGATTCATAGGAAATGCTCAGATCTGCTGCAGAGGCCTGGACAGTTCTTTCTATAACCCCAGTGAACTATAGCTAAACATGGACTGCAGCGGATTCTTCTTAGCTCACTTTTTTGTTGGAAAGTAAAACATGAGATTTGGAGGCCGTCAGAAATAGAAGTGAGGCGTCAGCAGCCTGGAACTAAAGGTTGTATGCAGCACATCTGATAGAGGTGAAGATACTGCTTTCTATTTCTATTCTTTTCTATTTCTATCAATGAGGCCACCTCAGGGTGCTCCCAGGAGGCCATGACAGAGTGGGGAGTCTCAGGAGGTGACGTGTCCTCTGACTATTTTAAGATTCAAGTGAATAAGTTTGCAATAAAGGTTTTTAAATGTGCATTTAAAGTTGGAAACATATTCACCTGCACTTTCCCACGACTGATGAACCAAACCACATGTCTGACCCATTTTTTAATATCAAGCACATGAAGAATGCTTTAAGCTTCATCCGTGCAGAATCTGTACCGCTCATCCTTTGCTGTGGCGGCAGCTGCTGGAGCTAATCCGGGGTGACATTGGGTGAATGTGGGGAAAGCGGGGCACACCCTGGACAGGTCATCAGCCAATCACAAGGCCGAAAACATTGTTTTATGTTATCAGATAAAACGGATGGATTCCTGCTCCATTCAGACATTCAGGTCGTGATATTTCACAAAATGCACCATTAGATATCTAGTCCATCTTGCTTTATGATGCGTGTGTGTGCGTGTTCCTGGCAGTGCTCACGCCCGACGCCGTGGTGATAGAATCACTGCATTTATGTCCAGTAATGGATGTCAATGACTTTGTGTTTCTTCACATCCTGCACTCCAGACCCAGCAGGGTTCTCCTCTTCCTCCTCATCCTCCTCCTCCTCGGTCCAGTGAGGGTTTATTCACCACAGGAGATGAATAATTTATGTTTCAAGCTGTGTTGTAAAATATCAGCAGCTGTGGTATTGTCTCTGCTCAGGCCCCTGGTGTGCAGATGGCAACAGGTTTGTGTCGATGTGATCCACACAGACTCAACAGGAGGAAAGTATTGTAGCCGGTCTAATCATTTTATTACGACCTGGTGTTTTCAAGGCCTGTAGCTCTGTTGCAGTTTTGTCACTTTCATCAAGGACGTTGTTTGTTTGTAAGCAAGATTACATTTCCAGGAAAAGTGGAAGGATGTTGTTCGGGTCAGGAGGCAGATCCAGGAATAATTTTTCACTATCTTTAACAAAAAAAAAAAAATATTTTATGGAACTCGATTGAAAAACAAATATGGCATGTTAAGAGGACTCATATCGATGAGTGTATGAAATTTGGTGCAGCTCTATTGAATTTAAGGAGACCTTGGGCCTTGGCGGTGGTGTACGAGTGTCATTCAAATTGTAAAAAGCTTTTAGAATATAAACTTTCTAATTAAAGATGAGTTCTTTTAAAAACATATTCTCACACTCTGGCTCTCAGGAGATCATCTTGAGAGAGAACCAGGCCAAAAGATCAGGATTTCAGAAACTAGGGCCTGATTCAAAGAAAGGATTTTCTCCAATTCACTAAATTGATCCAGATCCAGAAGGGTTTTGCCTCTCAAAGCCCAAATGTTTTCTGGTGGAATAAAGAACTCATAAGAACATTGAGCAGTGACCTCCTGCCCCCCACACTCTCACCCAGTGACCGTGTCATCTTCTGCTGTTTTATGTCTCCTCTCAGATCTGCACTTGGCAGCAGAGCTCGGCAAGACTCTCCTGGAACGCAACAAGGAGCTGGAGGACTCCCTCCAACAGATGTACATCAACAATGAGGAGCAAGTGCAAGAGATAGAGGTACGCTCGTCTCACACTTGGTGCAATGTGACGGATTTCATGCACATCCTACACAAGAAATATCTGGCATGAACTGGCTTGTCTTCATTTTTGTCTTAAGCTTGTTATCGAAAAAATGTGGCGCGTTAGAGGAAAAAGAAAGAAAATGAAGCCCAGAAGGTTTTTATTTCTGTGAATGCTGAATGATATGTAAAGAAACAAGAGATAGATTTAATTATATTTACACTGATCAGTGGTTCCTGACCTTTTCTGTCTCCACACCAACAAACTAGATATTATTTAACTGTTATCTGTATAAAAGTAAATGTATGTAGATATATTTCATATGTTTTCCTCTCAGTACTTGGCCAAGCAGCTGGAAATGTTGCGGGAGATGAACGAGCAGCACGCGAAGGTGTACGAGCAGCTGGACGTGACTGCCAGAGAGCTGGAGATCACCAACGAGAAGCTGGTGCTGGAGAGCAAGGCCTCGCAGCAGAAAATCGACAGGTGAGCCACAGCTGCTGTTAGCGTCATTGTCATCACGCGAATCTTTAAAGAGACGATTTAAAGCCAAAGAGGAATTAACCTGATGGACGATAGTCAAGAAGACGAAGTGCAATTTCTTTATTGTTCCACGGTTTTGCATATTTCATAAAAACTGTGTCTTCACAGTCCACTCCAGCAGCCATTAAGCTTTTCTAACTATAAGCAGGGATTGAAGTTCTTTACAGATCTCAGTACTGGACTAAAGGCTAAAGATAGTTTTCAGTTCTCACTCACATTCTTTGTTCTGTAACACTGACTCATTGTCGCCCTGGGAGAACGGTATGTCGAGAAAAGAGAGAATTAAGTCATTTCATCGATGGCGTAACAAGCACAAGGACAAACATTTGTGTGTGTGTGTGTGTGTGTGTGTGTGCGCACAGGATGACGGGCACCGTGGAGACCTTGCAGGGTCAGGTGGACAGTCTGACAGCTCGGGTGGAGGAGCTGCGGACTCTGGAGGAGCTGAGGGTCCACAGAGAGAAGAAGGAACGACGCAAGACGGTGCACTCCTTCCCCTGCCTCAAAGAGCTGTGCACCGCACCAAGGTGACTGTTTACTCGAGTTTACTTTCCAGTGGACAGAAAACGTCACACATCCACACCTGAAAGATGTTTTTAGTGATTTATTTTTGATTTCATATTTATATAAATATGTAGCTGCTCTCAGACAGGATGAGCATGTTTTTGTACTTTTATGGCTGCAGCAGATTTGAAGAGCCCAAGACCAACTTCACTTTGAGGGAGAATAAAGTTGATCTTGATCTTGAAACCTGCTGGATTGATTTAACAGATTCAGAGCTCTACAAAGCCAAAAACACACTAAATACTATTAGACCAAAATGGGACTTTTCTTATCTTACTGTATTGATTATTTTACCATTAAATGCTCAATTTCGGGGGAAGAAACCAACATTGAAATTTTATCTAACTGCTCAAACAGATAAAGCAAATTCACCCACTTTTCTCTGATTGAAATATCAATTTTGAAGCTCCAACATTTTGGATCACATGAATATAACAGCAGTTTTTATTGCATTTTCTTGTGTGTTTTAGAACATTTTAATGCTTTTATTGTTTAATAATGAGCATAAAAAATGATACAATTTAAATGTACAACTTGTATCTGTTACACCCTTTGTCACAACTTCACTCTGTGTAGTTTTAGCTCTCTGCTGCAGACATCAGTGTGATCTCATGGCCAATTACTGGTTTCATTATCCCAGGGTGGAGCACTGGGTTGTTGTAAAGTTTGAAATCCAGCTGCAGCTTTGTGATGCGACTCTTTTCATTTTCTCAGGTATGAGGATGGCTTCCTGTTGGCCAACCCGGGCAGCGTAGACCTGGCTGAGAGGCAGCCGGCGGATGAGGAGAACGAGCGCCTGAGGGACATAGTCTCGTCACTGCGCTCAGCCATGTCTACGGAGCGGTCCAAGAGGGAGGGCGTGGAGCGGGAGTGCACCACCGTGCTGCAGGAGTTTGAACGGCTGGAACAGCGTCTCTTAGGAGCAGAGGGCTGCCAACTGAGGGTCCGGGAGCTCGAGGCTGAGCTCCAGGAAATGCAGCAGCTGAGGAAGTCCAGGATGTGTCTGATGGGGGGCATGGAAGATGGACTTGAGACGCTGCTCAGCAACGGTCCTGAGACAGACACCCCAGAAGTGTGCACGGGGCTGGAGGAGGGCGGCGAAGGAGGCTCTGGAGAGGCGGGAGGCACGGGGCAGCAGGGAGGCCCAGTGAGGAAAAGTTGCAGCGACACAGCCCTGAACGCAATCTCAGCTCGAGATGCTTCGGGCAGACGCCAGGGCAGCTACGCCATGCATGCCAACGGCGTGCGCAAACGAGGCATGTCCATCCTGAGGGAGGTGGACGAGCAGTACCACGCCCTGCTGGAGAAGTATGAGGAGCTGCTGGGGAAGTGCCGGCGCCACGAGGAGAGCCTGTGCCATGCTGGGGTGCAGACCTCGCGGCCCGTCTCCAGGGACCCCTCCATGAAGGAGTACAGCATGATCTCTGCAGGGCCCTCCACATCTGGGGCTGTCGCTGCGCCTCCAACGCCCCCGCAAACCCCCTCCACCCCAGAGGCCCTGGAGGGGATCAGCAGGCAGGTGGAGCAGGTGGACAAACGGCTCAGCCAGAACACGCCAGAGTACAAGGCGCTGTTCAAGGAGATCTTCTCCCGCCTGCAGAAGACCAAGAGCGACATGCGCTCCAGCAAGAGCAGAAAGACTCACAAATGAGCTGGAGACGATTCCGCCGGCCACATGGACTGAGAACACTGGTTTATTTTACCTCACTATTTTGAGGGCTTCTTGTCTAACGTTTGCCTGTGACCTTGAGGGTGGATGATGAATATTACAGTTGACAGGCGAAGCCTCCAGTTGTTCTCTGGGAGCGAAGCTTGGCTGATTAACCTGAAGCTGCCAAATTTTACAAATCACTACACGGATGAAAAGATTGTGTCAATGAGGATGAAATGCCTTTTTCTCTGAGCGACTTCAGATAATCAGAACGAAAGGTCTTTCTTCTGTTTAAGGACAATCTAGTATGTGATGTATTATTTGTAACTGAGATGTACTGATGCAGAAATGATTTAACTATTGCCATTTATTATTTATGGAATATAATGACGCCAAATAATTTAAAAAAACTGGGGGAAAAATGCCTTTGGCTTTGATATTACTTACAATATTTGAAGCATGCTTCTGTCTAATAAACACTAAGTGCTAGATTGGTCTTTAAAAGCAGGTAAAAGTAAAGATGTGATGTTAAAAGTGTCTGTGTGTACGTGCTGAGTGGTTTGTTGTGGGTGGAGATGCCTCTGCAGGATTTTTACAGCCTGCACGGGACCAATGATCAGTTTGATTCAGGGATTTGTTTGATCACTTTATAAAATGACAAACTAATCAGTTTTACACGATGGCTATTTAAATATGTAATCATTTACATACAGTCATTGCTTCTACACTGGTGTTGCGTCATCAGAGTTGTCGTCTGTTGAAATAATTTCTGTTAATTAAAAAAAAAAAAATG